GTTTTCTCCTCCCTTGAGCTCTTTTCCTCTAACCCCCACGTGATCCAGGAAGAACTGTGAGCAGAAAAGAAATAAACACACAAACAGGGACTTATTCTCCCCAAATACAACCCAGTTCCTGGCAGGGAGGGGAGGAGAACAGGACCTGGGCTGACATTACAGGCTCAGCAAGCAGGAGCCCTCCAGCACATACTGGTGGCTTTGTGATGGTGCCACAAAGGCCGCCTGTTCCAGCTCCTCCACCACAGCATTGTCCCACACAGCCTCCAGTCCCACTTTCAATGGCTGCATTAAATGGAAAAGTCCCCAGCAAGGGCTGGATTCTCCCAGTTCCCCATTTATAGCACAACATTCCCCCGGTGTGGCTGGATCCCAGCAGGGATCCCGCCGAGGTCTCCAAACCTTCCCTCGCCCCAACCTTCCCCTACGTGGAAACTCCCATCACAAGAGATTTTCCTGGGCAGAGCAAAATTCCAGCACACAGCTCAGCATTTTACAAGCCCTTTCCACACTGGATGTACTATTCACCCAGTGCACTGAAAAAAAAGAGTAAAATATAAATAAAGAGCTGCAGTGTTCCAGTGCTGTCCAGGAAGAGCTGATCCCTCCTGCAGAGAGATCCGTGTCGGGTGCATTTACACCCTCCAAGGACTGCCTGGCCAAAAATAATGCTGAAACCAACAGGAGAAACAGCCAATTTGGCTGTTCTCCTCCCAGCCAGATTAGAAATTACTCTTGATTTACTATCTTGATAAATTCTTATAGTGGGATGTCTGTGGGCTGCCGAGCTGGCTCTGTGCAACTCCCCAGAAATGTAAAAAGAAGAATGAGAAAGAACCATAAATATATATTTTATATACATATATATCTTTATATATATATATATATATATGAAGGCAAGGAAAGAAAAAGCCTCCAGTCTTCACCAACAAGCAGGGGCTGAGACACCCTGAGCAGTGATAGACTTGAAACCAACCTGTAATTTCTGGATGTATTTCTCTCCCTCTCTCCTCCTCCTCCTCCTCCTGTTCTCTGTCCAGGAAGACTCCACAGTCCTCGGATTCAGGACTGTGTGAGTGGGGTGACACATCCTGGCAGGTCAGGAGAGGCTTTAGGGAGTTGGTGTTTTATTACCAGTGTCTGGACAAATCTGTGCAGTGAAATGATGGTGCATTTGCTGACACACACCGGGGAGAAAACTGACACCAGGATCTGGTCCTTTGGCTCCTCTGTGCAGAACAGAAGCCACCAAAAAAGCCCAGACAGGTCTGGGTGGCTCTGGGGGTTCTTTGCTTTTAAAGGCAGGAAGGAAGCACTGGGGAAGGCAGCAGAGGGGAAAGAAGAAAAGTAAAGTGGCAGAAAGAGCACTGGAGTTTGAAGACGTGGAAGAAAAAGCCTCAACACTCGGGAAAACTGCTCTGGATGATCCTTGGAGCTCTGATTCAGCTGAAGGGAGGCCCAGGTTTCCCAGGCTGCCCACAGGGCAGGGCTTTAATCATCCCTGTGGGAGCCCTGACTCACCTCAGGGCAGCACAGAAGCCACAGATGTGAGTCAGGGCAGATGGTGAAAACCACAGGCCTGTCCCAGCCCCAGGCAGGTCAGGCTGCAGAGCTTCCCTGCAGCTGAGGCTGCAACCCTGCAAGGTAACATCTCACTCACGTCACATTCCAGTTCTACTTTTGGGAAGCCACAGCACTGATAAAACAAACATCACTCATGCAAAGCAGAGGGGATGGAGGGCCAGGCCTTGCCCCTGCAGAACCTGTTTGATGACATTGATTTATATTTAACTAAATAAGCCTAATATCTAACTCTCTCTCTTTTGATTTCATTTCTTAACCAAGCAGGTTTAACACCCAGAGTGTTTCCTGTCCCCCTTTTAGAAGATGCAGTAGACACCAGCAGCCATTTAGTTTCACAGAATCACTGCAGGATTCAAAGAGGCATCCCATGTCCTGGTTGACAGCTTCACACAACCTTGTGTGAACAGGGAGCCAGAGCTCCTTGTTGAACACTGTATTGTTCTAGTGATTCACTGCACTGGAATGTTATCAGCTTTATTCATGGTTTTTCTGATAGAGTTCTTAGATTAGGCACATAAACTTCCACTTTTTAGAGGGGAAAAAAAAAGTTTGTGGCTTATTGTTACGTGGAGCATCAAAATTCCTGGTTTCTTTTCCAGGGTTGTACCTAGAGAGAACTGCAGGAAAAGGGCAGGCCCTCAGAAACCCAAAGGTTCTGTCAGGCTTCTAAGTAAGGACATTCAAGAGGAGGGAAAAAAAAAATAAAAGAGATGTGCACCATGACCAAAAGTTACCCATCAAGAGGACAAAATAATAGTGAAGATGGACAAAGACAAGGAGGACCAAAGGCCATGGAGGTCAAAGACTCTGTAGGGACCAGTCAATTAATCCGGACATTTTAGTCTGGAAAAGAGGCCTCTGACAGGGGACATGGGAGGGACTGACAGAATTTCACCAGCAAATGTGCAAACAACAATTCCCCAAGCAGGAGCTCACTGCAGTTAAATGGGCTGGCTTTTGGTGCAGTCACCAAAAGGAAGTGGTTCATCACACAGAGGTGAACTTTGAAATGCCTGGTGACAGGACAGGGCCTGAAAACACACTTGAGACAAACAAATGGATGTGAGATGAAGGACATTCCTACCTGCCACGGCTGGAGACAGGATGGACCTGTGGTCTCCCATGTTCTGAGGTGTTAAAGAAGCTGACAAGAGTCTACAGCATCTTCTGAGAAGAAGAGCAGCAAGAAAGCAGGAATTCCACTCCCCCAGTGCCCTGCATCCAAGAAGCGGGAATTCCACCCCTTCACTGCCCAGAGCTCCTGGGAGAAGTGCAGGCAGGAGGTACAGGCAGCACAAATCCTCCTTGCCCAATTAACTGCTCTCCCTTATCCTCCTTAACTGCAGCTGGGAGCTGACAGACCACACCAGCCCACGTGGTGCACAGGAAGCACCAGGCCCACGCTCCTGTTCACGGGGATGATGCCACATCCTCCTAGGAAGGGGCCTGTGACACGACCCCCCGCAGTTCTTGGCTTTGCTGCCGAGCCAGGAAGCCTCAGGTCGAGCCAGGAAGCCTCAGGTCGTGTCTGAAGAGGAGTCTCCCGAAAATATTTTTAGATTCCAGCGCCAGCCTGGTTATTCAGATATCCAGAGCCACGGAGTCTTGCATAAAAATGACTTGTTAAGGACTCCCTTGAAACAGGTTGTTTTCCCACTCTGTTCCAACGGCAACCACGGGCTGTTTCCAGCATCTCCTCTGTTCCAGCTCCCTGCCAAGAGCAGCCCTTTGCTCAGCTATCTCCCACTGACCTAAATTCACACAGGCAGCCTTCTTGCTTTAATCACTGTCCTCCACCATAAAAAGGACTCCAAGCCTGAAACCCTTGTCTCCTACACTCCTTCCCCCAGCCATGGGCCCCCAAACAGCTCCTGAAGGTCAGTGCTGAGCCTGCAGCACACGACACCAGCGCAATAAATGTCGTGCAGCCCAAATTATGTCCTGGGGGAAGCCTGTGCAGCCTCCTGGCCTCGTGCAGACTGCACAGCTGTCAGGCTTGCAACTCACCACCTTCTCCCTAAGATATGCAAAAGGGAAGGAGAATTCAATGGTATCGATGTTCCAGCTCCTGGAGTCAGCAGATCTGCCTGGGAGCACAGCCTGGGATTAGAGCTGTCGATGAGGATCGTGGCACACGGTGGCACAGCTGGTCAATAATAGCATTGTCTGTCCTTCAGGTGACCTCTCTGCTACTTCCAGGGTTATTATTCACCCTGGAGTTTTTCCCAGGAGCGATGGACCAGCTGAGGAGAGTCCCTGCTGCTGTATCTGGCACAAAATTAGGGAAGACAGGCTGTCCTGAATCCAGAAGTACAACAAGCTACATCCATATGTAACACACCTGAACCAAGGGCATCCTGCACATCACGATGTACTGGTTGGATATAGGAGCAGTGAGGAAGCCACAAATCAGCACACCTCTCCCTCCCCTTCTTTCCCAGAAGCACAGGAATTCTCTGCCCTTCTCCCTGGATATATCCACACCAACCTGATGACACAACCCAGAGTCTCAGAGTGTATTATTTCGTCCTTGACTCTCATTAACAAACACCTTCAGTGTCAAAACTCATCATCCCGTGGTATCCTTTGGGAATCACCTGCCAGGGCTGCCACAATGAACTGAACTGAGCAGTGGTCTCAGTCGGTGGGTGCAGCTCCCACGCTCCCCTGCATTTTACACCCAGGAGCAGAGCATCCTCCCAGCTTGCAGACACCTGCAAGGCAATTAACCCTTCCAGTCTGGCACCAGATGGGCCAAGATGTTCTGATTACCCAGCATTTACAACCTGCACATCCGAATATGTTCGCAGACCCCTCATAAAGCACAGGCTCGTTACTGCAGCCCGTTAACGCGCGTGCCAGACATTTTAATGGGCAAAAATCCCCCGTGAAACACTGATTTTCTCCTCCACTTCCAGGGAAAACCTGCCATCCTCACCACGAACTAGGAGACACTTTCCAGGGCTTTTTTTTTCCCGCCCACCAGTCCGGCCAAGCCTCGTTTGCCTGATTTCACAGCAGCCTTTATGAGTAACCCCGACATGTGCCGTGGCAGGTCCCTCATCCACCCTCCTCACTCATCCCACACCTCCAACGAGGCTGGAACAGCCTTGGAGACCATTTCCACTCCTGATCCTGCAGCACAGGACACCCTTGGTGTGGATTCCTCACAGCCCTGAGCAGGTCCAAGACACAACTTCACCGCTCAGGCTACTGGAAGTGGGATATGGATACAATTTACCGCCTCAGACAAAAGGAGCTGGAGCAACACTTCTCCCAGAACAAGAGTTAAGGCAAGGATGCCTGTATTTCTAGGACAATGCTGTCCTAGTGAATGCTGTGCCCCTCTGGAGGCAGTTTTAGGCCAACATCAGGCACTGCAGAAAGTTTTATTCTTGAAATATTAAGGTACTCACTGTACAGGGTGACCAGCTGGAAAACTGGAATCTGTTCCTCTTCTGTAGCCAGCTCCCTACTCATCTGTCTGGAGCCTGTTAGAGAGGAAAAAGAGTTTTAACTATGGACAAAGCGACAAAAAAAGATTTTGAAGCATTTTTAAATTTAGGGGGAAAAAAATAATTAAAAAAAAAAAAATCAAGAAGTAGGCCAGGTAGGGAATGCAAAACAGAGAGAAACACACCCCCCCTCAGCTCTGAGGTCAAGAACTGAGAGAGCTCACAAAGCTCACAGCAAGGTCTCTCCAGCAAATGCTGTGATGCTTAAAAACAACGGTGGCACCCGCTGCCTCTGGAGGCTCCCGAGGTCAGCCCTGGCCCAGCCCAGGAGAAAAGCCAGATATTCATATGTGAGAGCAGCAGCAAGAGCTCCACAAAGCCAGTTACTACAGAGCCAGTGAATCCCAGCTCCTGGTGGCACATCCTGGTCACCGACGCAGCGCTACACAAATGTTAGTGCAGACATTTGGAGGGTTCCGTGGGCTGTGATCTGCCAGGCACCACACAAGTTCCCCTTTAATAGATTTGTTGTTTCAACACACTTTATCCCCTTAATAAGGAGCCACTGAAGTTGTGCTTAAACCCATTTTGATTAAGGAAAAGATTATCCATAGAATTGCCAGACGTGCGTGTTGGTTATACATCAAACACAGACCAATTGTGCTTCGGGGAGACATTAAATCCCCGTTCAATTAATAGAGACACCTCTTAAAATGAGCATTAAATAATTCCCTACAATGTAGCCAGACAACTGGCTACTTCAGGAAATTGGAACAGAAATGATTTCCCATCTCCCCACCAACAAAATCCCAATCAAAACCTGCCCTTAAAACAAGAGGTCAGTAGGGAGGGATGGGAGGCAGGAATGTTACTACCTCAGTGCTATTGTGGGCTTATATTAAAGGCTCCTCATCAGAAAATTAAATGAAATAGATGCCTTTCATGTTTATCAATAACAGAGCTAATGGTTTTTATGTAAATGCCACTACTTTCAGCCAGATCTGCAAGAGAGTGAAGCCACAGAGCCCCATCTCCCCTCAAAAGCGACTCCCTTCAGGCAGCCAATCTAAATGCAAATTACAATCAAACCAAGAGTTTTCTGGATGATACTGAACACATAAAACCAGGGACAAAGCAGAGATATTGGAGAACAACCCTCCTCTTCTGGAAAAACCTGCTGATCTCACAACGCTGTTCCATCCTGAACATATAGAAAAATTAAAATATCATTTGGTTCTCATTTACGGTCATATTATTTATTGGTACAGCAAGAGGGAACCACCTTCTTCCCTTCTATTGCCCTGGGTGTTGAAAAAGGAGGAGAATGTTCTTCTACCAAGCTATAGAGAGGATCACCTCTCAGAGATGTTTCAAACTGGCACAGGTTGCCCAGAGAAGCTGAGGCTGCTCCATCCCTTGAAGTGTCCAAGGCCAGGTTGGACAGGATTTGGAGCAACCTGGGATAGTGGAAGGTGTCCCTGCCCATGGCAGGGGGTGGAACTGGATGATTTTTCACATCCCTTCCAATCCAAACCATTCCATGATTCACCCACAACAGGAGCATCCCCTCAGCAAGGACATTAAATCAGAGAGATAATAATCAGAGAGATAATCCTACTTGGATTTGGCAGAACAAACAGCACTTCCACATTTTTAGGGGCAAATTTCTCCCTCGAATGCAGTTGTTGGGGGAAGAAGGTGCTGGTCATTAGGTGGCAGAGATACAAAACTGTTGTCAGCACAAGGAGCACCGTTCCTGCAGCACAAAAGCTTTCTGAAGAACACTTAAATCCGACCCCTACCTGGAGCACAGACCCAGTCAGGACTTTGCCAGCACTGATTCAAACAAGGTACTAATGGCAAATCTGAAAAGAACTAATATTACAACCACGCTGCTCAGCAAGTAGAATGCACAGAGGAGAAACTAATGATTAAAACAGAGGGCAAAAAAGCTGAAAACCCGACCCTGGCACAAGTCTGCCAGTGAGTCTCAGCAGGGACTTGCTGTAACTACCACAAAACTCCCATCCCCAAGAGGGGCACATGTCCTTGGAGGGATGCAGCTAATTACCACCAGAGCTGTGTACAAGCTCGTTACACGGGTGAGGAGCTGAGCTCTTGGTGTGTTTGGAAAGCTACAGGAATATTCATAGAGCAGAACCTCGTTAATTAACATTAATAACCGAGAGCCCACTCGGGCAAACGGCTGGATTTTGGGAATTAGCCAGAGAGGGAACACGCGAAGCTGGGAAACCGCAGGGACAACAGGGCCCAGCAGGCGCCTGGCTCGCTCCTTTGGATATCTGCAATTAAATAATTTATCCTTGTGCCCCTGTGTCCACGAGGGAATGTGCAGCCTGTAAATAAAGCACCTCCTGTTATGCAAGGCTTTGCTAAGTCTGAAAGTTTGACTGCCCGTGAAAAGAGGTCATTTAATTAAAAACCACAACCTTGACTACCCTCCCTCTCCGAAGCTCTTCACGTGGGCCGGCATTTCAGAAAACTCATCCACTTCTTTGTCATCTGTTCTGTCTTACTTCATCGCTGAGCAATTACTCACAGATCTATTGTTTTATACACAAAACACTGGTTTGCAGTCCCTGTTCACAGTTCGGAGTTGCTAAGGCTCCCTTCTCCTGCTTCTCTTCCTTCTCAAGCCCGGTGAGGCAAGACTTGGTGTCCTCTCCAGCAAAAGGAGACTGGGGTTCCAACTCCGGGCTTGTCACCACACCGACCACGGGATCAACCTGCGAGCAGCGAGAAAGGGAAAAGGCCCTTCCAAAACAAGCACAACTTCTCTTCTTTTTTTTTTTTTTTTTTTTTCAGTGCAGACATTTCCCAGCACAACAATCCCACGAACGGCTGTCCTGGCAGGAGCAGCCAGAAGGAGTGTCCGTGGCAGCTCTGGGAGACCACTCCACCCGGAGCGGGTGCTGGTGCCACTCGGAGGCTGCCGGGAGGAGTCTGATTTCACAACCCTGCTCCCACTTCAGCTGTCAAACCGCGGCCACAGCTGCTGCACGAGGCACTTTGCAAACCGGAGCTGTTCCTGCAGCGAAGATATTTCCTCCCCCAAAACACCCGAAACTGGAGACCGTGCATCCGTACACCAGTGCCCAACCCCGACCCCTGGCTTTGCCAAGCAGTGGGTGCCAACAAATATAAAGATTTTCTCCTCTGGGTGGCAAAAAAACTTCCAACGATCACTTTGAAAATTTTGCCACTTTGCCAAAGGAAGGACATTTTTCCCTTTGCAAACTGCTCCCTGTCTCCTGTTCTCCCCTGCACAATTCACGGTCGCGCTGAACTTAACACGATTTTTATGTTTTCTCCTCCCCAAAACGCTTTGCATCCTCACACGCAGCCTGTGATTCCCCGGCTACAGCACGGGGTTTTTTTCACTTTGCAAGGGTTCAGGTTTAAGCACAGCAAATCGCTCTCTTAAACTGCCTTTTCTTATTTCCCTTTGTGAGAGGCTTCACTCGATGATGGATGTGTAGAAATGCAAAGCAGAAGTCCCCACAAAAAGCAGCCAGGGTGTGAGAGGTGGTTTTGTCTCATAAAAAAAAAAAAAAAAGAGAGGCAGGGATGACTTACGCCTCATTAAAGAGCTCCAGTCTGCATTTTTATTAGATATATTTAGACACCAACGGGTTTAAAAAAAAAAAAAAATAAATTAAAAGCAGTTATATTGTTAACATATGGCCCCGGATCAGTCACACGGATACAAAGGAAAACGGGCACAGCAGATCCTCCAAACACAGGCATGGAAATCATTTCAGTGGGGCACATGACCTATAAAATTTCAAGCAACACCAAACCACACAAAGGTGTGACTGAATTTACTGCAGAATTACTGCGGGGCTGGGGCTTGTCCCCAGACTGTGCATATCACAGATGCTACCGGAGACACAAAGAGGGAGGAGAGTAATTCCTGCTCGCTCCTAATGAAAAAGTCATGCTGGTTTTATTTTCCAGTGGAGAAAGTGAGGCCTGGGAGAGGAATATTCTGCCTAAATTCATGTGCTGTCACAAATAAACCCAAGACAACATCCCAGCCATCAGCCCCCTCACTACCAAGTGTCTTCTACAACGCTTCATCCTCTCCATCCTGCAAGAAACAGGCAGCTCCGAGGCAAAACTTATTTCAAAATCAAATGTAACTCTGGCCTGCACAGAGCACAAATTACTAATGTAAATGATACCTCCTGAGCCTGATGGAACAACAAGTGATGGCCAATCACACAGGCACTGAACGAAACAGGGTGGCACGCCCAGAGCAAGCATGTCTTGCAACCACTAAACACACGTTTCTGTGCTGTACGTGGGCAGCTACTGCTGTCCGGGATATTTTAACAGCACAAACTGCACTGGGGGAAAAAAAAAAACAACAACAAACAAAACGAAACATCACCACAACACAAAAAACCCCGAGTACATTCCTCCTCATCGAGAGCCAGAACATGGGAAACAAGCGATATAATTATTTCCGCTGGAGAAGGAAAATAAACCCAAGAACACACAAAGGGAGAGAAACAAACCTCCAAAGCTGATTTGTAAAGTAGTTCAGGGCTTCTGTGCTGGGCTACGACCTCCCAGCACAAAAAACCTCTACAGATAAGCCAAGCTGAGGGTGATGAACACCTCAAAGCACCCCCTCCTCTGTCCCCATCCCCACTCCAGCACAGCTTTGGGATGTTTTCCCAGAGCCTGCCGAGTGGGTGCCCTAAATCCTGCACATCCTTCAGCCCGTGGCCACGTTTCCATTTGCCTAAAGTGACCCTTCCTGCTGAGACTCTGGCACAAGAAACAAAGAAAAACATTTTCCTGCCTTTTTGCACCGAGAACAAAATGCTTCAAACCCCAGCAGTGACTGCTGGTCCCGCCTGCCCAGAGCTGCTCACCCACGAGAGGCAGACCATCCCTCCATCCCAGGAGGATGCATCCAGGGCAGATCCCCCAGCTGGGATAGTGCTGGTCCCCAAATCCTTGAAGGCTGGAAGCAAACAAACCTTCAGCAGGAGCAGGACCGGGCT